CCAACAGGAGGAGAGCTAGTAACGTTAGCAGCACCGCTAACGGCTAATCAACAGCAGGAGAGCTAGTAATGTTAGCAGCACCGCTAACGGCTAACCAACGGAGGTTCACTTCAGTTACATGATGATGCCTTCAGGCTCTGCTCAGTGAACATGAGTACTGGCTGAAGGTACATTATAACGTGATCATGATGTGTTCACATGTCATCTGTAAAATGTAGTTTTTTTTAAACTAGAATAAATCCAGTAGTTTGAAGGAGATGTTTTCACATGAATATAAAATATATATTAGAGATGAATTATGAGCTGTTTAACTTCCTAACACGAGCTCTAAGGTCATTATTATACTTCATTAACACTAATAATGACAAAAAAAGTAGAATAACACCAAAAAGATTTAAACCTTTAAATCTGAATGACCATCAATATTCTGTACATAATCAATAATTTACTGTGGAAACAAAACCAGTCTGACCAGTAACCAGAGAGAGAGAGAGAGAGAATCTAGAGAATCTAGATGTTATATTAATGTTTTTGTGTATTAATATTATTGTGTATTAATATAATTGTATCAGCGGCCGCCCGCTGCTCCCCTGCGACCGGCGGACGGACCTGCCACAGCGCCGAGCGCCACACCCGGGTCAGGTGGAGCCGGGTCCCCTCGCCTCGGACACGCCCTCACGGTATGCTCCTCCTCACCGCAACCGAAACATTTCATCGCTGAAAATCACGTAATCATAATCATCTACTTTAACGTGGAAGCGGAGGTTGAGCTCCTCGTTCCGGTTGTTAAGTATCACATACAGGTGTCTGCGGTGAGACACCACGTGCTTCAGCAACTGAGACTTACATCCAGACAAGATCTTCTTGATTGGTGACACCACCTTTCCGTGTCTGGAGAGTTCTCTGCTGAGAAACTCGTCAGTGATGAAAGGAGGGATGTTAGACAAGATTGCATCAGCGGCAACACCTGGACAAACATGTCATTAACCGTGAGGCCTGTCTCGATGACTTCTCCACCTGGTCCAGGAAAATGACCACAGCGTTGTTCATCCGAGCGGCCAATTTTACGCTGCTGTGTCCGACCATCTCCCCCACAGCCAGCCCAATGTCCTCCACGCTGCACGGGAAGCCGGCGCTGATCTTAATGCCATGCTTTCACGTGAGCCCCAGGGGCGTCGTTAGGCCTATTTTAGGGGGGCTGAAGCCCCCCTAAAATATTCTTCAGCCCCCCCAAATAATTTGGCATTATTGGCTCCTCTTGCACACGACGCCCCCAAATTTGGGGGCTCTCGAGCTAAGGGGGGTTGCAAATATCGTCCAAAAAATGGTCATATTGAAAGCGAATATTGTGCATGTGTACATTTTATATACCGGATTAAACAGCAACGTATGGGCAACACTATCATATAAGTCACTTTGTACACACTCCAAACACAACTATACACTACTAATATAAGCAACTCGAAAATGTGGCATAAAACCACGTATTCCTGGCCACAAATCTGTGTTTTATTTACTGCGCTTCGAAATATTGGAACACCAAGCTAACGGCTATACAGCTAAACCATACATCGCCTAGCATTAGCATTCGACGCAGAACCCATAAATGCCTTCGGTTTTTCTCTCTGTGAAACCAGTACAAAGCTGTGAGCCAACAACACAACAGTTCCCTTCACCGGAAAAAAACCCCGGGCACTAGGACCTTGGGGAGGCTGCTGTGCTGGCTTTCTCACTCTGCCAAGTAACGTCTCTCGTCAACGACAGCCAGGATTATAGCCAAGGAGTTTAGCTCAAAGTAAATGATGCACGGAGTGAAATTGTAAGTACAGGTAGATCAAAATCTTTTTCCCTTCTGCTCATAATAAAACAAGTAAACAACTCAAAAGTTGACACTGTCAGGTCCGTTCTCCATCCATTGTGTGCGGTCCCTTTAAGAATCAGGATTTGGGAGTGACGCGGATATGAAAGCTAGTTTATCCGTCTTTCCTTTACAAGCAGGAAAATTATTTCTCTCTTTATTTGAGAAAAGTTCATATTTGTGTTGTCAAATTTCACTATGACCCTGAAATTCTGTCTCTTGTGTTATCATATACTGAATGCAAGCAAAACTACAGAGCAGAATCACACTCTTTCTGATTGGTTCAATCTATGAACTGTCTGAAACAATGGATATCCGCGGCCCCAAATAGGCCCCAAAAAAATTGCTGCACGCTACGCATGCAAACACGCCACTCCCCTTGGGGCTAAGCCCCCCCCTTCTTTGAATCCTAGAAACGCCCCTGGGTGGGACAAACTTTCTCTATTTACCATGGCATCCCAGGACACCGACTGGCGAGACACCGGCAGGAGAAAAAACACCAAACACCCAAACTCCCCAAAAAAGATTAGCCTTAATCTTAAAGAGAAGAACCAACTAATAAACCACATTAAAGTAATACACATAAACTAGGGACAAGAAAATAAAGGTCGAAAAACCCACTCGCTCAGCGACTCACTCACACACGCTCACTCCCAGCATGCACCGAGAGAGAGAGAGTGAGAGAGACAGAGAGTGAGAGAGACAGAGAGAGAGAGATACAGAGAGAGACAGACAGAGTGAGTGAGAGAGCAGATTCGTATTGGTTCGTGGAGAATCAGTGAGAGTGAGATGTCTTCGTTTTCTTCCTCCTCTCTGAGTCTCACTCACAGTTCAGTTGAAGCGCAGAGATATCTTTTATTAGACAATGTCTCCCTCTGCTGGTCACAGGAGAGAACTGTGTAAAGGAGAGTAGATAGAGAGAGATACGCTCCTCCCATCTGCCTCGGTGTATCCAGTCACGTGTCGGGATCGGGGAACGAGCCAGCGTTAAAAAAAAAACGGAAACCGGAAGCGTTTAAGACCAGGAAGCCAAGCACACTAGCAGGCTAACAGCTGTGAACGGAGCGGACTGAAGTGCTTGAAGCTCAACACACCAGCGCGTGCACCAAGTTTGTGTTTTCGGGATTTTTCTCAGGTGAGTCTCACCTGCAGACTTACAAGTATTGAATATAACAAAACCAGCAAGTAGACGGAGCCTACGAGCTAACCAGGAGATACATGGTGACGAAGTCCAGTTAGCATGCTAAGCTAGTTCACGTCCTCACAACGAAACTTTTCCCAACAATTACACGTTAACGAGGTTTCTGTTCCTAGGTAAATAAGGTTGTTTCCAGCAAATAGACGAGCCCTTATTCACATGTAACACAGATGGTGTTTAGCTCGTTTTAACACAAGTTTAGTGACGATTGTTGTGGAATTTTAAGTGTTTCATGTGAGATTTAGCTTTCGACAATCAGCTGTTTTTAATGTGAAAGATATTCAGTGTTTCTATACGGTGACGTCACCAGCGTGACTCAGCCCCCCCCCCCCACACACACACACAAGTTATTTATTTGTGATCAATGTGCACAACAGTGAAGCAGTGCTGATCATTACATATGTTTAAATGTTAAATCATTGGTATCAATATAACATATTTGTGGTTTACAGCAGCGAAATTAATAAACTTCATTTAATCATGAATGTAGAAAAAGTATTTGTGTAGTTAGATGTTATAAATCTATATTAACGTGTGAATGAAGAGAAACTAACATTTCATATTTAGAGTTGAGAAGTATTTAAATATGGAACTAAATTAAAGGAGTAACTTCTGTTTGAGTTGCTTCAGCTTTATGATCATAATATCCTTTATATGAAAAACAAGTTTACAAACCGTTTCACAGACATAAACGGAACAATTAAACTAAATACTATAAACACTGTACAGACATTTTACATGTTTTTACTGGTTTTTATTCACGGTTCTTATGCAACAAAACACAATAGCTAATCAGTTGTATGTGAAAACCTTCGTGGCAATAAACTTTATTCTGATGAACATAAATAGAAGAGATGTAAAAATAAAACATTAAGTTAGTTAATGTTAAGGAGTCAGAATATTAGAAACACTTTAAATATGACGTGCCTAAGCTGAGACGAGTCATTGAACTCATCATCTATCCGTCTGTCTTGTGTCATTCTGCTTTTCTTTGTTTTCTGTTTTTGATTATTAATATTCTATGAATGGAGGAGATATTCATCACAAACCGTTTTTATTGCCTCGTAGTAGTTTATGATTGTGTTGGTGATGAACTGGTGGAAAACAAACCGTCTTCACGCTGACTGGACGTCCGTCTGGGAGCCTCCGATCGTCCTCTCAGCTTCTTAATGACCGTATCAGTTGAGTGCGTCGGGTGTTTTGTATGTAACTTGTTTCTGTATCTCTTCTATCATTTATGTTGTAATACATGAGGAAGAATAGATAAAGGATCTCTTATTGTGGTAATTAGTTTAACTACTTCACTCAACAGCGAGATGAATTGTTGGTTTCATCTCCAGATTTGAGTCTCTGTGTTTAAAGTCCTGGTTCTGTGTCGTCTCTTCAGGAGTCAGGATGAGTCTCCAGTGGACGGCGGTGGCCACCTTCCTCTACGTCGAGGTCTTCTTCGTCCTGCTGCTCTGCATCCCATTCATCTCTCCTAAGAGGTACTCAACCCTGAGTTAACTAACCCTGAACCCTGAGTTAACTAACCCTGAACCCTGAGTTAACTAACCCTGAACCCTGAGTTAACTAACCCTGAACCCTGAGTTAACTAACCCTGAGTTAACTAACCCTGAGTTAACGAACCCTGAACCCTGAGTTAACGAACCCTGAACCCTGAGTTAACGAACCCTGAACCCTGAGTTAACAACCCTGAGTTACCTAACCCTGAACTCTGAGTTAACTAACCCTGAGTTAACAACCCTGAACTCTGAGTTAACTAACTAACGGACGAACGTACTTTTTTTTTTAAAGTGATGACGTAGACACCTGTGCTTGCTACTTGTGTGCTCCTATTGGCCAACGTCATTCATTTTGACTCGCTGAGAGAAGGCAAAACATTCCGACGTCTTTTTTTCCGACTGAGACGTCTCAGATGTCGTCGTCCACTCGGAGACTTCAGCTGAGAGTCGATCTGAAACACGGAGCAGATTATACCTTTAACTGTGATTAACTCAGCAGACAGAGACGTCTTGTCTCTTAAAGGACCCAGTGACCCCATCAGGAACTCAGAAACAAACATGACTCAGCAGTTCATCTGAAAACTATCTGATTTTGTACTAAATCTGTTTTAATCAGAAGCGGCTGCTTTAATATGAAAGAAGTGGAACATGAAATGAGTGTCATCTACTCTCGAAACAAAGAGTCATCTGTTTTTAAATATATATTTTTTTGACGCGCGTGTGTGTGTGTGCGTGCACACACACACACGCGCACACGCAGCACTAGATGGCGTGAGAGCTCCAGCTGTCCTGTATGTGTAGTTCATCTGTCTCCTACAGTATTTATAACCCGACTGTTTTGTGCTCCAGGTGGAGTAAGATCTTCAAGTCTCGGATCATCCAGACCATCGCTCTCTATGGGAACACTTCATTCATGGTGGCCATCGCCATCCTCGTCTTCCTGCTCATCGGTACGTCTGGTATCTTGTTCTAATAGTAAATATTGATGTTTAATTCTCTATGCAACCTGCATTCTCTCTAGTGACCACCAGGGGGCGACTCCTCTGGTTGTATAGAAGTCTATGAGAAAATGACTCTACTTCTCTCTTGATTTATTACCTCAGTAAACATTGTAAACATGAGTTTATGGTCTCAATCTCTAGTTTCAAGTCTTCTTCAATACAGCATGATGTTCATTTAGTACATTATGGTCCATTTAGAGTCACACCGTTCGGTACGAGTCTTAATAATGCTAGAGCATTTAGAAAATGCAAAAGCCTAAATTCAGGAAAACATAATGTTCTCAGCTGGTCTGGCTGTGGGATCCACCTAATGACAAGCCACGACCCAAAGAGATTAACATAGGATTTTACTTTCACTACTTCAACGTTGAACTGCAATGTCTTTCCTCGGCTCAGGTTCCTCTGTCATGGTGCACCTCACTCAGTCAGAATGCATTTTGATTGGCTGAGCCTGCGCAGGCTCTGATAGTCAAAGAATACGCCCAACATGTCAAACCAAAGATCTGATTGGTTGAACACTATGACAATCAACAATATCGTCCCCATTCACTTAAACTGCACATGGATGCACTTGTGAGTCTGCAGGCCTCTGCCTCTGTTCTTACCTAGAGACACAGAGGTGAGATCTGATTGGATAAAAGCTCTACTTAAAACAAGCTGCACTGGAAGCAGAGCAACTGAGGAAGACAGGAGCTGTGCAATGAGAACATAAGATAATGGGAAAATATTTATATGAATTATAATACATGTAGTGTATTTAAGAAAAATGATTAAATTATAAAATGGATTTTTTTTAAATATATATATATATATATATATATAGCTTTGTGATTCTGTTTGAGAGAGAGAGAGAGAGAGAGAGATTGAATTATATATATTAAAAAAAAATGTTTTGATGTGTTTAGATGCGTTCCGTGAGGTGAGGAAGTACAGCGTGACGGAGAAGGTGGATCTGACCAACAACCCGACGGCCATCGAACACATTCACATGAAACTGTTCAGAGCTCAGAGGAACGAGTACATCGCCGGCTTCGCCCTGCTGCTCTGCATGTGAGAGACACACACAGCGACAGGCAGACTGATTTAAATGCAGAGGAATTTTACAGTAAGATGGAAAGGGTGTGTGTGTCAAACAGTGTAAATCCTCCAGCCTGCTCCTGATTGGACGGAGGTCATTGGTGTAAATCTGTCTCGGCCTCTGATTGGCTGACACCCCCCCCCCTGTATTAGGTCTGATTGGTTTCAGAGTCGTGCGACACGGCGTGTTGCGATTGGACGGTGTTAGGTTCAACTGGCAACTGTGGGGGAGACCGCATGTGGTCCAGCCTTACCATCAGTCAGCCGGTTTCAATTATAATCAAAAGTATTTAATTCTACAGAAGCTAAAACAATTGCAAAGTGAACTACACTATTTACAGAATATATAGAAATATGATCCGCACGGAAAAGCATTCACCCGCGCCTGAGCCTGAAAGCGTAACAACCCACAAGATGAAACGAGAGCAAAGAGAGAGAATTCTTCCTCTGCCTTTCTTTTCATAGTTCGAAAAACCCTCCCATAATGTCCGTCTTAGTTTCTATTGGCTAAATGCAGCTGGCTCCTCCTTCTCGCATCAACCAGCCGGAGGACCCTAGCGCGGGTGTCCCTGTAAATGCCTGTCTGGAAATCCCTGTCTGCCCCTTGGCTATTCTTCACAGTTTAATACATTCAATGACTGTCTTTTATGGCTCAACACTTCTATGGTAAACATACTATATAAAGATAAGGATTTGCAACTTTTGGCAAAAACTTCACAAGTTTTATCAGCATAATCGGTACGTCCCAAGTACTAATATTTTACTATCCACCTCTGAGGTGCTACAAATTCTACTAAGAAACACTTCTAATTATAAAGTCTTAAAGCACACTTCTACACCTAAATTTCCTACAACGGCGGCGTGTTGTCGGGCTGAAGCTCTCTGAGTTGATGTTGCATTATTCTCCTGAACACTAGAGGAGCTCACACCAAAGACAACAGTCACCGAATGTTGTAATATATCAACGTCCAAACGTCCCGTTCTGTATGTTTGATGAACTTAATAAATAAAACATTACTTAAATTATTCTTTATTAAAACATGATTACAGTTGATAAAGATGCTGAAGCATTTCATAGACTTTCACACGTCATCACCTCTGCAGTCTTTGCTGCTGAATCGATGAAGGTGGTGGTGATGATGATGATGATGATGAAGATGATGGTGGTGATGATGATGATGAAGGTGGTGGTGGTGATGATGATGGTGGGGTGTTGGTGGTGGTGGTGGTGGTGATGATGAAGATGATGGTGGTGATGATGGTGGGGTGTTGGTGGTGATGATGAAGATGATGGTGGTGGTGATGATGATGATGGTGGGGTGTTGGTGGTGATGATGATGATGATGATGGTGGGGTGTTGGTGGTGGTGGTGATGATGAAGATGATGGTGGTGATGATGATCATGGTGGGGTGTTGGTGGTGGTGATGGTGGGGTGTTGGTGGTGGTGATGATGAAGATGATGGTGATGATGATGGTGGGGTGTTGGTGGTGGTGGTG